GCTTCCCCCGCAGCGGGGCCCTCACGCCTGTTGGCCCCGCCGTATCGGTGCATTGGACAAGTCTGCTGTGCCCATCGCACTGCTTCTCGCATGCCCTGCAGTCCCCCCCGCCCCCAGCTGGGTCAGTGCGCTCTTACCTGGGCGACTCGCCCAGAGCCCTGTATTGCCTCCCTGTGTGGCAGGGCCCCTCCCCTAACCCTGTGCCCGTCTGGCTCCCAGGGGGTGCCAGAGGGGACGCACTGACTCCACCCCCCTTCAGAAGCCCTCAGGGGAAAGCCCGTCTCCCGCCGCCGGTGGCTGAGAGGGAGGACGAGGACCAGACCTACATGAATGACGAAGGTGAGATCCGGGGCCCCGCTGCGGGCTGGGTGTGGTCGGGCTGCCCCCGGGGGCGGGTGAGTAAAATACCATCGAGGTGGCTGCTTGCCTGGTGTCTTTCCGGGGCCACCCTGGGGTGGGCTCTTCGGAGGAATCTCTGATGCCGGGTGGAAGGGGCGGGTTGCCCCTGAGGAGAAGGCTGGCGCCGGGGACGGATTCGGGCCCTGGGACCAGAGAAGTATCCTCAGTGGAAGCCCCCGTCTGCAGCCCCCACCCCCACTCCGCCAACTCCCTTCTCTCCGGACAAACAGGAGAAACGGTCTGAGATAAACAGGATGAAGTTTACTAAGGACAAATGCAAAGTGCTCCCCTTAGGAAGGAACAATCCGTCTCACACCTACAGAATGGGAAGCGACCGTCTAGGAAGGAGTCCTGCAGAAAGGGATCTAGGGGCCATAGTGGACCCCAAGCTAAATATGAGTCAACAGTGTGAGGCTGTTGCAAAAAAAAGCAAACGTGATTCCGGGAGGCATTAACAGGTGTGTTGGGAGCACGGCGCGAGAAGTCGTTCGTCCGCTCTGCTCTGCGCTGATTAGGCCTCAACTGGAGTTTTGTGTCCAGTTCTGGGCGCCGCATTTCAAGAAAGATGTGGAGAAATTGGAGAGGGTCCAGAGAAGAGCAACAAGAATGATGAAAGGTCTAGAGAACATGACCCGTGAAGGAAGACTGAAAGAACTGGGCTTGTTTAGTTTGGAAAGGAGAACACTGAGGGTGTCTCTAAACTACATGGCTCCGTTGATGGAGCCATGTAGATTAGGCTGATCGGCAAAGGGAAATGAAGCCGCGATTTAAATAATCGCAGCTTCATTTAAATTTACATGGCTGCTGTGCTGAGCCGACAACCAGCTGATCAGCTGTTTGTCGGCTCAGCGCGCTAGTCTGGACGGGCTGTCTACACTGGCCGCTTGAATTTCCGCAAAAGCACTGACTTCCTACTGTAAGAAATCAGTGCTTCTTGCGGAAATACTACGCTGCTCCTGTTCAGGCAAAAGTCCCGCGCCGACCTGAAATCCCTTTATCGACCTCCCCGTTATGCCTTGTAGGATGAGGTTTACCGGGGAGGTCGATAAAGGGCTTTCATGTCGACAGGGGGGCGTCCAGACAGCTGATCAGCTGTTTGTCGGCTCAGCGCAGCAGCCATGTAAATTTAAATGAAGCCGCGATTATTTAAATCGCGGCTTCATTTCCCTTTGCCAAACAAAAAAATGTACATGGCTCCGTCGACGGAGCCATGTAGTTTAGACGTACCCTGAGAGGGGACATGATAGCGGTTTCAGGTATCTAAAAGGGTGTCACAAGGAAGAGGGAGAAAAATTGTTCTCCTTGGCCTCTGAGGATAGGACAAGAAGCAAGGGGCTTAAACTGCAGCAAGGGAGGTTCAGCTTGGATATTAGGAAAAACTTTCTCACTGTCCTGATGGTGAAACACTGGAATAAATTGCCTAGGGAGGTTGTGGAATCTCTATCACTGGAGATATTTAAGAGCAGGTTGGATAGACATCTGTCAGGGTGGTCTAGACGGTGCTGGGTCCTGCCATGTGGGCAGGGGGCTGGACTGGATGACCTCTCGAGGTTCCTTCCAGTCCTAGTGCTCTAGGATTCTGTTGTTGTGCTTCCAGATGTGGCAGCCATCAAGGGAACGAAGCCAAAGCTGCCCGGCGGTGAGTACACAGGCCGTGGGGTGGAGGCTGCACTGCTGGGTGACCCACGTGCCTGCCGGGGGGGGAGGGGCTGCCCATGGCGTGGCACCGAGACCACGTCCAGAGGGAGCAAGGAGCCTGCCCTACGGCCGTAGCCGAGAGCCAGCTGGCTTGGAGTTCAGGTGGTGGAGAGAGTTACGCACTGAGCTCCAGAGGGCCCAGGTTCAATTCCTCCTGTTGGTGTGACAGCTATAGAGCATATGCCCAGGGCTCCCCCGCCCCCGACACACACCTGGGTTCCCCTCCCCCCACTGGGGGTTGTCGGGTCCACTGCTCTGCCTGGAGCCCCATGTGGCCTCCCAGAGGTCCGGGATGGAGACAGCGAATGGCCCCTCAGTGCAGACGGCTCCCCGGGCAGCTACCCCGGGAGAAGGAGCCGCTCCCTGGCTGTGACAGGCGAAGGGGAGGAATCCCAGTGCACCGGGGGGAAGAGGAATTTGAGTGACGCTAAGGGAGAGGTGAAAGGACCCGCAGCGACAGCCTGGCCCGCCCAGGACGCGGGTGGTTCGGCCTAGTGGGTAGGGCCAAGAGCCAGGCCTAGCGGTTAGAGCAGATGCAGGGCCTGGTGGTTGGTGCTGGAGTTGGAAAGCAGGAGTCAGGCCTCAGGGCAGGGCCGGGGCAAAGCCGGGAATGGGAGTCAGAGCCCCGAGCTGGGGGCGAGAGCAGGGTGGGTGGCAGTGGCAGCAGGCCGGGGGTTACCAGCTGGCACACGCCGCTTCCTGGAATCCCCCCGTGCTGAGCTAGGGGCCTGGACTGCCCCTGGGTGGGGGGCTCCATTCCCCACGGTTCGTCGCTCCGCCGGGGGCTTGGACACAGCCCGGTTCTAGCCCAGACCCCTGCCCGGGGCGTGCTATGGGACCCAGGGCTGCATCCTGGCTGCCCCGGCCCAGAGCCTCCAAGGTGCCTGACGGGGTTGGGTGGCTGTGGGTCTGGGAGGGGCACAGGTAGGGAGGCTGGCTGGGTAGGCACGTGGCTCCGGAGCCCAGCTTTCGGGGTGGCTCTGGGGCCGCTCCTGTGGGGGGTCCCCTGCGGCAGCAGGCACCGGCTCTGGGGGGGCTG